ATTTCATGCAAAAAAAGGTTAGGAGAATACTTCCTATAAGCACTGGTCTCCTCCTTCTGATGTCTATCTGTTTGCACTTGTGATGTGAGAAACCAATCCTGTTGAGGTACCAGACAAAATCCTGATTTAGGTCATAGCAAGCAATAGTTCCACCTTTTCATATTTGCAGTTTTACTGGAAAATAGATAAAAGTTTCAGATGGCATAAATTAAGATAACAATAAAGTTACCAATAACTGCGTTTGTGCTCAACCTAAAGCTAATGCTTTATGGAAGCAATATTTTAGTTGAATTATAGTGTTTATTGTTCTTTGTAAAGAGTCCATAAGCAGCAATTTCCCTCTTGGATTATTAAAGTATGTCTGATTCTGATTCTGAGCAGCACACATCTTGATTTGATCATCAGACTTAATCTGCTATGGTTCTCTATAACTGTCACATTGTTAGAACATCTTACATCCGTCAGGTCACAAAATCCAGATTCTGTTTTTGACATTTTTTGATATTTTTAATCTGCTCTATATTTGAATTATTTTTTCAGAAATTTGCTTGAAGTTGTATTAACTTTCAATAAAAAAAAAAATTCAATAACAAATATTTGCATTATAAATTATGTTATATACATTTTGCTTCTCTTTCTTTGTGATTTAAGACATTTTCTGCAAAGGTTTTGATTTTGCTTTCGTTTGAAGGCCAGCCAGGGGGACGTTGGACATGCTGTGGGACTACTGACAACCCAGAATGTGGAGATTCAGGACTCTGCAGAGCCTCAGGAGTCAGGGACATCTGCAGAGACCTGGGACAGCAAGAGAGGTATATTCAGACAGGGAGCGCTGCGCAAAGACACATCTATAGGACGTCTGTTCAAGTCACTTTTGATCCTCTAAGTTTTCAGTCCCCTGAAAACACAGAATGAAATGCCAGAATGAGAATTCTTGGTTGGTCCATCATCTCTCCATGTTATTTAGTTCATGTAGATGATGGACTGAACAAAACTCTTGGAGGTATTCAAAGTTTGGGTCGTTTTTTAAGAACCTACTCCTTCTCTAAACCTTTGCAGAACTTTCCTACTTACCTCTTTGCCGGGGTCCTTGGTCTTCATTATATTGTTTTCTATCTTTTTCAAACAAAAATCCGAAGACATGTGAAGTTTTTCCCATATTTGGCCAGTGATTTCTAAAAGCGGATGGTTGCAGTGGATTTTATTTAAATATACCAAAGTAATTGCATGCCTCATTTTGTTCAGATTATCTTTCAGAACGATAGAATATTTTTTCTTCAGCCTTTCACTTTGAATTTTGTTTTGTGTTGATGTGTTTCCCCAAAAAATAAAATAATACTACCCCCCCTAAAATACATCAAAGTTGGCAAGAAAATGTAAAAAAAAGAGGCATGAAAGGAAATAATAATTATTTAAACACATTTTAGGGATAATGAAGAGAAAACAGACTAACTTCATTAGATAAATCCAATTCAAAGCTTCTTAAGCAACATGTATAGAAGAAGGATCGATGTTGTTCTGTGTTTCTTTTGAAGGACTTCCCAAAGATGAACTACAGACGGCCATTGAACTCAGTTTGCAGGAATCCCACAACGCAGAGCAAGAAGAGCGAGAATTCAACAGGTAAGAAGAAAAAGATTCACAGCCAAGAAACTGTGCTCTATGATAGGCAGGCTGCTGATTTTATAAACCATATACTGAGCAAGGAAAGTACTAAACACTAAACATAAAGAAATATTTTAATATTTATTAATGTAGAATTAATTGCGTCTGAATTTAAAGATAGCATGAAACTAATAGGGTTTTTTTCACGCTTGTTAAAAAATAAACAGAATAGGTTTTATTCAGTTAATCTGTTTTCTGATCAGCTTGAAAAGTTGAGTCTAGGCAACTGAACGTGAAGTTTTCTAAAAAACGTTTCGCTTCTTATCAATCAATGAGGCTTCTTCTGTTTTAATTAGTGTTTTGGGAGGACTGGAATGAATATACTGTAAATATAACAAAGGAATTAGAGGAAAAACAAAAGGGGGCTTTGATTTCTCCAACAGGATGGGCCATGGAGGTCACCATTCCCATCCATCCATCCATCCATCCATCCATCCATCCATCCATCCATCCATCCATCCATCCATCCATCCATCCATCCATCCAACCATCCATCCATCTTCTGCTTGTCTTGGGCCAGCTCCTCTGGGGAAACCCCAAGGCGCTCCCAGGCCGAGAAACATACTCCCTCCAGCGCGTCCTGGTTCTCCCCCTGGGCCTCCTCTCAGTGGGACGTGCCCAGAACTAGGGATGCACAATATAATCGGCCTTAAAACTGAATATCGGACATCGGCCACCCCACCGATATTTAACCCGATATTTGATCAGCTTCTGAGTTTCTAAAGTCTAAAAAAAAATNTTGACAAAATATTAAAAACTCACCCAGTAGTTCGACACGAAACTCTGATATAAACACTAAGTAACAATATTTTATCCCAACAACACGCTACAATCAACACTAGAACCAGTGAAAACAAAGAGGTAACAGCGGAGGCCATGAAAAAGCTGTGTAGCTTCAGCTAACCTCAGAGCTAACAACTGAAATACGGAATGTCACGACTCATATAGATCAGTTAATAAATACTTACATTGTCTTAGACTGGTTTATGTTGTGCAATGACACACGATATCTTAAAATAATGACAACAGTGAAGGAACAAGAGTGTGTTGCAGTCAGTTTTTTTGTTAGCCAAGCTAGTCTACAGATACGTAGCACCTTAGCTGTTTAAGCTAACAAACCTGTCAACTAACGTTTATCAAAATTACAAAAAAATGTGAAAAGAGTCATATTTAAAAGCGTATTAGACCTTGCCTGTTGTTTCGAAATGAGCTCTATTAATCAACTGACAACTTGTTAAGTTTTAGAGCTCCTAATCCTTCATGCTAAGCTAACAGAGCTAGCGTCTGTAGCTGCAGTCTGTCTGGTCGCGCAGTGTTTGAGTCACTGAGCCGTTTTCATATAAAACATCACCAGACTCACCGTAGCCACGGACAGTGGCACTAACACACGGTGCAGCAGAACAGAAAAATCCCCAGAGGATGAGGCATAGGCAGTTTACATCGGTATTTCTGGAGCACCGGACAGAAGATGGTGCTTTTCGCCCAGTCTGCCACCGCTACAGCAGCGCTGGGACTGGGAGGTAAACACAGACAGAAGAGTGGAGGAGCAGGTGGCCTGAAGGGAGACCTCTAGTGGCCTAATCCTGCATTACATTTCAAGCTACAGCATCCCTGCTCAAAGGAGCATATAGTAAAATTGGTTTTACTGTGTATCAAATAAAAAAAGAGATAAAGAAATAAATAATAATATGTTCAAAATTAAATACAGTGCTAAAACAAGTTGAGTAAATATCTAATAACATATTATAAGTAAAATATCCAAAAAAGGAAAAATATAATGACAGATAATCACAAAAAAACTAAAAACAGAAAATGTCCTTGCTGATTTTATTGTTTTAATTTTTTTTTACAATATTTTCTTGAAAGTCGTTTAATCCCTTGCACTTCCGCATTTATATATTGTCGAACCTCTGATTAATTTCATGGGATTTCCATCCATCCATCCATCCATCCATCCATCCATCCATCCATCCATCCATCCATCCATCCATCCATCCATCCATCCATCCATCCATCTTCTGCTTCTCTTGGGCCAGCTACTCCGGGGAAACCTCAAGGCGCTCCCAGGCCAGCCAAGAAACATAGTCCCTCCAGCGTGTCCTGGTTCTCCTCCCAGTTGGACGTGCCCGCAACAACACACCACCATTCTCATAGAGTTGCAATTCCTTTTAAAATATTTGTATTATTTTCTATTATATGATTTATCTGTGATTCTATCCGATCATTAGAAAAAAACAACATAGAAACCTTCAAATTCTCTGGAACTAAGGAAATTCGCCTTATGCAGGTATGAATTAAGTCTAGTTGCCCCCTCAACATGGGAAAGACAAGAGAACAGGCCTTGATCACCTGAATTGTGTTAACTTTTGGATGAATTAGATAATATAATATATAATATGCAGCCGAGTGTGGGGTGGCTGGTATTGAGGATCAGCACCTCCAAATCCCAGGCTGTGGTTCTCCAGCGGAGAAAGTGGACTCCGCTCTTCAGGTCGGAGGAGGAGTTCAAGTATCTCGGGGTCTTGATCACGAGTCTGTTTCGGATGTCTCCTTGTCGCCTCCCTCGGGAGGTGTTCCAGGCATGTCCCATTGGAAGGAGGCCTCATGGAAGCCCCAGGACACGCTAGAGGGACTATGTCTCTGTGCTGGGCTGGTGTCGCCTCGGGGTCCCCCCAGAGGAGCTGGAGGAGGTGTGTGCAGATCGGGAAGTCTGGGCATCTCTGCTTAGACTGATGCCTCCGGTCCTGATTAAGCGGAAGAAAATGGATGGATGGATGGATGGATGGATGGATGGATGGATGGATGGATGGATGGATGGATGGATGGATGGATGGATGGATGATATCCAAGCTGTTTTTTTTTTTGTTTTTTTTTGTTGCTAAGGGTATTATTTTCTTTCTGTCTTCTCTTTAATGTTCTGTAAAACACCTTGTATTGCCTGCAATAGTTAATTAATAATGAAGCAGTTTCAGTTTTTCCCTTCAGTTGGTTCCTTTGCATTTTTATTTTATATTTAATATGAGTAAATATGTTATGCTGCTTGTGTCACTATAAATAATGAGGTGATTTTCCTCTTCAGGATAACTATATAAAGCCAAAGCTGATCTCTTTCTGACCTCACAGAAATCAAATGTCTCTCTCTCTTCTCTCTGGTTTTACCAGCAATGGTGGGGAGGATTTATAAAAAATAATAGTGGAGAAAACAGCTGATGCAGCAGTTTTTTTGTTGAAACACATTCATGTGTTTTGGATTTTTTTGTTTTTGTTTTTCTGTTTTTTTTTTTGGTACGGCTTAAAGTGATGACTGAAGGTACTTATTAATCTGCTCATGTGGTATTTGCAAACTGCCCCTGTTTCAATGTTGCCACATTACCTTGAAAACATCCAGGTATTTTTACCATTGAATGCATTTGGAGGATGAAACATAAAAAATCAAAACAACACAAAAAACATTCAGTTGCTGAATGCTTTGTGTGATGTCACTGAAGGCAAAGCAAACTGATTTAAGGGAGGGAACCTTTTTCCCTGACGACATAAAAGCAAATGCAGCAAATTTTAAAAAGAATATAAAAAAAACTAAACTTTTTTTGTACATTTTACAGAAAAGTCTGTCTGAAAGCCAAAAAAAAAAACATTGATGTGGTGAAATCTCAGCATCCAACAGATTTCACCTATTTTAAATCATGTAAAAATACCCTGATTATTAACACCTTAAACCCCTGATTAGGGGTGTAATTCTTTTCTCATCCTTAAAAATCCACTTTGTTTTTACTGTAGTGGTCAGTTTGATTCCTTTTGAATAACAATTTGTCGCCCAACAGGGCTCTGGAGGCCAGTGCAGAAGAAAATGCAGTGAGAATGAAAAGAAAGAGATGTGAAGCGCAAAGTGAGATGTGCAGCCCTGCAGACTGGATTCGTCAGGACGACTGGCCCGTCGGAATCCGCAACGTAGGAAACACCTGCTGGTTCAGCGCTGTCATCCAGGTGAGTAAGCAGCACATGCTGCATTGTTAAATATAAGATGAAATAAAACTGTGGGAACACAGTAGAGAAGTGGCTCTGCAAACAACCAGAGCTGCAACTAATAATTATTCTGCAAATCGATGAATCTGTCGAATATTTTTTTTGATTAATCGATTAACAATCGGATAGTCAAAGGTTCCTCAAAGAAGATTTTTTTACAAAGTTAAATCAGATTAAACTAAACTTTTCCACCTGAGGAGTTCTGGATTGAGCAAATTGATAGACAACTTTTATTTTTCATCTTAATGCAAAATATTAATATGTTTTTTTTAACAATTTTGATATAATTACTGCTCTAAGTCAGTTGCTCTGTCAGCTAAAGACTTATTTTACAGTCTCTATACTCCAGTTAACAATTAACCGATTTCTAAATTAGTTAACAACTATATTAATAATTAATTGATCACAATTAATCCGATTACTTCTTTCAGCCCTACAAACAACAGTAAAGGAAAGCCAAAATTTCAAGATAACAAAGAAGGTGAACATGTGTCTATGATTGCACATACTAGGTCACACAGGAAATGAAAGATGCCAAACAGCCCTTCTTTGCTTTGCAGGAATTAATTAAAAAATGTTTTAAAACATATGTTTAACAAGCTGTCAGACTTAGAAAGTGAAATAAACAATCCATGCATAAACATAATCGCTACAGACATAATGTAACCCTGGTTAAGCTGTATAGAAATATAAAATAATTATCATCTTAATGAAAAAAGTATATTCCAACCTTTAATTTCAGTGAATTCTTCAATGTGAAAAAATGTTTTCATATCCTATATAATACATGTAGGCTACATGATGTAGCCTACCGGAGGGTTTTCTATAATTTATACTAATGATAACATCAGAAAAAAAGTTTTACCTGAAAGAAAAACCAAAAAAGCAAACAAAAAGATCTTGTCTCTTGAACTGTATGATTTTACCAGCTTAATAATGGAAAGGTTGGCAAAAAAAAAAAGCCCAAAGCAGGCCTTTATTGATAATTAGCAGTATTTTTGATAATTAAATTTATTTTAGTTATCCTTTTTGTGTTGTGAAATACGTTATATGGATTAATTACACACAGAAGGATGTTTTCAACCCTTGGTTGCTGTTAGTTATAATGATTTTCTTCTTACAGCTAAAGAAAATATATAATATAAACACATCTAGGAGAAAAAATATCTAATTTACTTAATATGGTGTAAATGTAAACAATTTCTTTAGGCCAAAACCCTTTTTTGTTGGTTTTACTGGTCCTTTAACAAGAATAAGACTAAAAGAGTCCATCGGACTGAATTTATATAGGATTTACTGACAATTTTCATACACATTCATGTATCAATAATCAGATTTGTGATCAGTTGCCTTCCCCAGAAACACATTAGGATGTGAAAAAGAATAAGCTGGAATTAAACCGGCAACTACTTCTCCACAGTCACCCAATGTTAGACATGGAGGAGGATGTGTAATGCTGGGGGAGCGTTTCACCTCTAAAGGTCCTGAAAATCTTGAAAGACTGAAAGGAAACTCTTTCAAATGCTACTTTAAACAATAAACATGCTGGTTTCTGCCAAAAACCAGTCATGGAAAAACAGCTACAAAATCAACCGTCCCCATGACTTTCTCAGATGTAAATCCAAAAGAATTCCTCTGAAAGGTAAGCTAATGAGTTCATGGGTGTGGATCCATGACTCACGATTATCTACATTGATGCTGTCCTGCTAACTTTACTTTTCTCCGTGTGAAAACACAGGAATCACATGATTAGATGATTGGCAGTATTCTAAAAGCATACTGTTAATGTAGTCCAGCTATTTGATGTAGCTGCATCGGACTAGCCTCGTGAGACCATCCTGATCTCGCGAGCTTTCA